TTCCTAATTCATTAGGATTCCTCCCTCCCTCTCCGCGAAATATTCTGGAATATTCGTTGGAGATCGATGAAGAAGTAATTACCAGTGTGCTCGAACAAATCCAGAGGAATTGATATTAACTCTATTCCCAACTTATAATTGTCGAAGAATTTTAAGAGAGCGACTCTTAGTTGGATCCGACTATTTATCCCTCGGAGCCAGCAGCGATTCGGCCACCGGCGAAGTAATATTCCTGAAATTGGCCCGACCGAGAAACTTATCCCAAGTGATATTTGTTTAAAGAAGAGGGAGAATCGGCATTGGCCAAGTTCGAGACTTGACCCGTTTTCAAGTTTGAACGCTTCATTTTGCGCCACACTTCACTACTGTTTTGGCACTTGTTGCGTGGGATCCGGGCATTAATTTTGCTATCTCGATTGGAATCGATCCGCCTTTGATTGCCGCGCTATCGTTCGATTTAGAAAGGTTGGCCAAATAAATTGGTAACGCGTTTCAATCAGATTCGTGCTCAATTTATGAATGTAATCTATCATACACATACACACACACACACATATATATCATTAAAAAGAAACGAGTGATACGTTTTTATGTATTTTTCTTTTTTTCAATGATCAATCAACGATCAATCAATGGATAAAAATCTTATATATATATATATATATAATAATTCAACTTTGAAAAAGATGTATCAACTAGATTTTCCAAATTTCACATTGTTCGAACGCGCACGAAATTTCAAGATCAATCGATCGATTGAAAAAGAAGCAGATATCGCGACGATTGATCAATCAACTCTTCGCTTTCGTGTGCGTGTATTTTATCGAATTTAACCGAGATAAATCCGGGCGGCGTTGGCCAATTAGAGAAACTCGCCGCGCGCGGTGACTCGAAATGGAAAAAAAAAATTGGAAAGTTTAGACCGCACGATCGGTCCACTGGACGGAATCCCCGGTGTATCGATTCTAATCTCCTTACGAATATGTTGCGCACTGACACGAGCGGATGATTTACGAGGCCGTTGTGGCACCCGAGCCGGAGATTCTATTGTACGCGAACAAACGCTTTCCAACCCGTCTACCATCCGCTCGATGATGCCCAGCCTCTTGGTATTCAGATAGCCCGTGTTCAACACATTGCCGCCCGATCGCACGGTGTTGCGATTACGTTCACGGATGTTCGTTCGATCGTCTTGCTTCCATCGTGTAATGGAAAGCTAGACAAAAAAAAAAAAGAAAAAAAGAAAAAAGGAGAAAAGGGAGGGAAGGGGGAAAAAAAGAGGAGAGGACGTTCATCGTGGGAATTGAATTCTGTCGCCATGGGAAATCCTTTATCGATACCCGTGCTCGGGACATCTCTCGACAAATCCCCACTTCCTGACAAATACGATCTGTGACTCGACTTGTCATCCCAAGATATTTCTGTATATCCGGATGAAACGTGTGTGCTATTTTTTTTGTTTTTTTTTTTTTTTTTTTTTTTTTTTTATATATATACGTTACGTTAATCGATCGAAACGGAACGAAACGTTGCAATGCACGCGTGCGATGCAACGTCGCGGACGGTCGTCGGATTACGTAATCGCCACCATCGAACGATTGCAAACGTGTGTTTTCGAAACGGTGTTTTAAGCGGCGAGCCAAATCGAATGAAAATTATAGAGAGAGAGAGAGAGAGAGAGAGCGGTGGCCTCGTTTCGTTACGTAAGCGTTGTAAGGGGATGGAAAAAGTGCCGACTTTATCAAATCGGGCGGGGAACTGTCTTCTGCAAGTTTGACAGAAGTAGAAGAAGTTTTATTTAGAGACACGCTTGGTAAGCGCCGCTCAGCGTTCTTCAAGGACCCGAGAAATGGGACAACGTTTTAAATCAATCGTCGCTGGTAGACAGAGGTGCACCGTCTTGCTCCATCTCTCTCTCTCTCTCTCTCTTCTTCGTGATTTAAGATTTGAACAGCTTTGAATTAGAAACCGCGCAAACTTTTCATTGCTGGATCCAAATCGTCATTTTTATTCATTACTTTTTTATTCGCATTATTATCGACGTTAATAAAATAGCTTTTACCTAGTTTTTGCTCCCAACATTTTTTGCACGATAAACTTTTTAACGGACGGATTTATATCTGATGGGGAACGGGATGAATTACGTCGAAACGTGTACACACAGTTCGGCATTTTTAATTAACTATCCAGATACTTTTAATGAACCAGTTTCGATAGTATCATCGGTATCAAAAAAAAAAAAAAAAGAAAAAAGATAATAAAACTCCATCGATGAAAAATTATAGGATTTGAACGAGCTTTGTAACCACTCCCTTTTCTGAATTAAATTTTCACATACGCTTGAGGAAATTATAAAAATTGCCCTGCGATGAATATACACCCATCAAGAAATAATCTTCTTTCTTCTTTCTATTAAGTGTGATGAATTAAGATAAATTCTATGGTGCTTATTACGTACGAGTTAACGCGTAGAGTTTCATTAACGTTTAATTAACTAAACGTGATCCCTTTAATGTGGAAAGTTTCATGAAGGGAGGAAATAAGGAAACGACAAATTTTTGTTCGCCCCCGGACCATTATACACGCGAGAGATACAACGGAAGAAGAATAGAAAATTGGCAAAGGAAAGCCCCTCTTTCAAACGTAAAAGGATCCTTCATAAAGTTAGCTGCTTTTCTTTCTATTAACGTTCTCATTTTTCGCCCTCGCGCAACTCTTAACTTCGAGCTTCTACGCCTCCAAGACCATATGTGTCTTCTTCCTACATCCCGACGTGTTCGCGAGGAATTCCAGGCACACGTTGCGATCGAACTTTCATGAAACGTCAAAGAAATGAGTGATCGAGTAGACTCGTCACGAGTGCTGAAATTTTACGATTCTCGTTACTTTAAAGCCAAGTAGCAAAACTTATATCCGTCCTTTTTCTTTTTTCTTTTTGTTTTTTTTTTTTATGTATCGCAAACTCGTAATTTAGAATCGGTACGAAGGTGGTGGAAACAATCAGGGGCTTAAATAAAATTCCTTCCAAATTAATTAAGATAAATAGTCCCGAACAAGATCGATTAAATAAAGTTACTTCGAGCGAGAAACTTTTAAATCAACTTAAAATCAACTTAACACGTTGTTAGTAAGATCATTATAAGTAATATTTTTCTAAAGGTAAACATATCTATCGTGTAATTTATCTTGGAACTTGGTTTAAATCCTATTAAAACTAGGAAAATTTTGAACCGCTACAGCTTCGAAAATAATCAACGATCGTTAGAAGCGTGGAACCTTAACCTTTGAAAAGCTTTTCGATTTATCTCGATGCGATTATTGGTTCCTGAAATATCGTCGTGCAAAGAAAGAGGAGTAATTTTTAATTAAACTGTCTCCAATCTTGTCGCTTATTCGGATCTCTCGCTCTCAGCCTCGTCTCGCTGTCTCGAACTCCAGACAAAACAGACGCGATTCCTGGAACAACGCAATCCACGATTCCTGAGGGGGAAAAAATGTAAACTCGCTCGTATCGCTTATAGGTAAATAAATCTCTGTGTTCAAACACTTCAAATTCTCGACAACGGATCGAGATAAATGAAACAAGAAAGCGACTTGAATGGAACAATTTTCTCTAATTTTCTGAATCGGTTTTGACAAAATTTTTAGTTTCTTTTCATTCTTTTCATTTTTTATATAGAAAAATTTATCAGAAGTTTCTCACTATTGATACGAGGTACAAAGTGCAAATTTAAATTTATTTAATCTTATCTACTTTTATATTTGCATTGTAATAATAAACCGACAAATGTGATAAATATGCAAGCGATTAAAAATGTACGCTTGACATCATCGTGGAATATGTTCCCGTAATAACGAATGCATTTAAGTATTTAAGATAAAAAGAATATCATATACGCGTGGTCGAAATGTTAGTGGGAATTTTTTTCAATTAAAAGTTTTATATATACGACAATCGAGGCCGTAAATTCGATCAAAATCGATGTTTTCGCGCTTTTTTCTACCTTTTTTTTTACACCAAACAGCGAACAGCGCGGCGAAGAAATTTATACGCATTTATACGCGTGTCTCGTAGCGTTTTACAGAGTGGAAAGATAGAATGGAATTTAGAAAAGTTAGCGTGTTTGTAACGAGACGCGTGTGTTATTTACATTGACAGTTTCACTGTCTGCACGTGTGGCAAATTGGAAATGAGTATGCTGTGTAGTTTGCGCTTGTCACGGAGAGGAGCGCGAGAATTTCCATGTCGACAGGATCCCCAGTTGAAGGCACGATACCCAGCCGCTGCTTCGAGTTTCGCGATAGTTAGCGGGAATTTCTAGCGTGGAGAGTCCACCACTACAGCAATTTTCATTATGTCGTCTGTTATTACTATAGTTTCCGTCGTAGAAGCTGATATTACAATTTCAGGCCGTGAGATCCTTCGTTTCTCTGTTTTCATTACCATATTTTCTCCTATAGGAAACGTTGTAATTAGACTTTCCCATCAAATACAGCGGAATGATGCTCGGCGAAACTGGAATGACGTTCCGCTAACGACTTTATTTCCATTTCGAATAATATTCAAGAAACGAGAGATTGCACGCGAAACAGCTAACTGCGAAGAATGCCGATGAAAGAAAATTTCTCTGTCGCGGCGATAAGAGGGTAATCGATCGATATATATTCGCAGAATAAATTTTTACGATCATGGACAATCGAACTGTCGCGCGTGTACACGTGTGTTGTACACACGACTCGAGTATACGATACTCGAAAAATTTGACGTCCATCGTAAATCTCTTGCCTGTATCGTACTCTTTCATCCGCGCCAAATGTTAAAAATTTACCATAAAAGATTTTACGATGACACGTACTCGCGTATCGAGCGCTGTCCAAATGAAAGTTTAGCAGGAGCCAGTGGAAAATTTTAGGATCCACGTGGCCGTCGATCGAACGACATCGGGAATATGACACGAGCGATGCACACCCTCTAACAGATAATTCTGTTATTATTACAGATAAACTCGGAATGGTCGCTCGGGCCTGAGCTTTGCGACATGTGGACCAGCAGCGACGTTCTCTGCTGCACTGCCTCGATATTGCATCTGGTGGCTATCGCGGTCGACAGATATTGGGCAGTCACCGATCTCAATTATATACAGGTTAATTAACACTGTCGCGGTCGGTAGATAGACGAGAATGGCAACGAATGACAAACTTACGTCGAAGGGATGACAGGAGAAGAGGAAGGGATTAGATAGGCGGTCGTATATCGATCCTAGAAGTGCGATTCCGACAATCGAGGCATCTTTGTACGATGCAATTAATAAAATAGCTTTACCGCGTGTGGAATTGTTTTTCATTTTCATTTTTCCTCCTCCTCCGAAGAATTCGTATCGTGGAAGAATTCCGTTTCTTACGAAATTGGAGATTCGATCGAGATCTCTTTGCCAAATTTTTCGTTAACGCCTTGTCAATAAAGTGAATCCAGAGAGAGAGAGAAATGTAATTTATCGAGGTTTCGAGATTCACGATACGTATCCGGTAATTAATCCAGTCTTATCGACGATGGCCAATAACTAATCGAACCTAAATCCTATGACACCTGCTACGGATACCCGCATGTCGGAGGTAGCGTTACCGAAATCCTAGGCTTAGAATCTCGATAATAATGTTGCAACACGGTCACCTGATTATCCGTGATGCGATCGAGTTATTTCAATCTTGAAACGTAGCGTTCGACATGCCGGCTTCCCGACCCCTATCCCGGATATTATCTCGGGCAAGATGTTATAAAAATATTCCGGTGTGGGAGGAAGAATCCGGATGGTATGAGGGCTCGCCAATTCTCGATATGTGATAACCGGTGAAAGAATTTCTTTACTTCCAGGCGAGGAATCCACGACGGATTGGTATGTTGATCGTCGCCGTCTGGGTGGTGTCCTTAGGAATCTCGTTGGCGCCTCAACTTGGATGGAAGGATCCTGATTATTTGGATCGTATAGCGGACGGGACTTGTCTGGTTTCGCAGGATCCCGCATACCAGGTACCCGCTTCTTCATAAATCACAAAAATCTTCCTTTCCAGTTATTTCGAGAGAAATTGCATCCGTCCTTTCGATCGAATCGCACGACGATTCTTTTTTTTTTTTTTTCATTTCGATTCTTTTTCGATAACTTCGTCGATAAATATGAATGAATCGATAGAATGGAAACGGTGATAATTTAAAAAAAAAAAAGCATAAGTATTTTGATAAGACTTAAGAATAAAGAATTTCTTAAAATACTTTCCAGATCTTCGCCACTTGCGCGACATTCTATCTACCCCTGTTGGTTATTCTATTCCTGTACTGGAGGATATTTCAAGCGGCGCGGAAGCGGATCAGAAGGAGGCCGGGAACCATTGTGCAGCCAGCTCGTGAAAGAAGAGGCATCCTTAGATACGTCACAAAAAGGTTCCGCTTCCCTCCCACATGACTCTGAATAGATACACGGTCGTTAAGTTCCTTAACTCAGCCTCCCTCCCTTCCTCCCCCTCTATTCATAATTTCCACGTGACTGTTGTACCCTCTCGCTCCGGACTAATTACTCCCCTCTATATCTCGCGTATACTCGTTAAAATCATCATCTCGATCTCGTTCGCTGTATCTCCACTCGAACAACATTCCACGCTCGAGAATTATTTTATCCGACCCCTTTCCTAGACGAAAGGGATTTTCCCCTACTCGAAATTAACACCTGCGTATCCCAACGTGTTTTGCAGACCGAGGGAGGAATCGACAGCGTTCACGATAACGAGATCCACGCCGGATCATTCCTCGATCTCGCCTGAGAAATCGTCGTCTTACAACGGGGCGAACGCGACCCAATCGACCACGGTCACCCCGTCTACCGTTTCGACGACCACCACTACCACCACCACCACGACAGTGACGAATCCTTCGAGCAGCCACTCGACCCACTCGTCGAGCAAGAGGACGCGCGACACGATCGAGTCGAAGCGCGAGAAGAAAGCCGCGAAAACGCTCGCGATAATCACAGGGGCTTTCGTCGCGTGTTGGTTGCCTTTCTTCGTTGTAGCGTTGCTCCGCGCCACTTGCCAGGTCTGCGAGCCACCTGAGCTCATAGCAAGCGTCTTCCTGTGGCTGGGCTATTTCAACAGCACCCTGAACCCTGTGATATACACTGTATTCTCACCAGAGTTCAGGCAAGCCTTCAAGAGGATGCTTTGCGGTGGTTCCAGGATAATTCGCTGACAGTGGATTTAAATCTCGCGCCAGTCGCGTATGAACTGAGAGAGAGAGAATGATTGAGAGAGAGAGAGAGAGAGAGAGACGGGATATGCGTGTGGACGGATGCGTCGCGTGTACATAAGACAGTTCAATATTCTAACTCCTTCCTCTCTCCTTTTTAAATAGCGTTCGGATATCGCGGATACTTAGGCGAAACCCTTAGAGAGCCCATAGATAGTTTCCCTCCCCCCTTCGAAAATTTTCCGCTGGAAATGACAAGTTTAACGAGCGGATCCGGATAACTTTCGCCGTTCGACCGGAAAGTTTCGCGCGATTTTTCGAAAAAGATGGACGGACGGACGGACGGATGATGATCCGACAACGTGCGATTGTTTTCATCGAAGCGACGGTATCCGGGATAACGCTGCATCTTATAATAACGCGAGAGAAATTCTCTGTTCGAAATAGCTCCGCATTTTTCCGATACGTCTATTAAAAGAAAAAAAAAAAAAAAAAGAACGCTCTTTTATCCATTAAGGGTTTTTGGTTGACGAAAATCATGAGGAGAGAAGAGACGACGAGCGCCACGGTCTCGAACGTGTTACGATCAAAAGGGAGGGAAAAGGGGGAGAAAGTGATCGATTCGAAATCTCGAGAATGATCCAGTCGACACCTCCGTGATAGTTTCGATAGATTATTTTAGATTACATTATATAAAATTTCAATTGTCTTTGCAAGGAGCGGAGGTCGATACTCGCGAGATACGAGAACGATCCTTTGTTCAATTTATATTGTATTTTATAAAATTCATTGGAGAAGATCGTTCGTGATTTTTAATTAGGCGATAGATGGACGATTTGCTCGATTCGATTTGAACGTCGTGCGTTTGTCGAGGCACGGATCGAGAGGAAAGAGGTAATTAGAGATCGAACAATTTTTTCCCCGATTGCTCGTAGCGATTGGTCGAAACCGGTTGGTGTTACGCAATACGCGCAATACGAATGCCGCGTGCAGATTGTATAGACGCTCGTTTATTTCGTTGCTGCTCACGAAATCGCTCCGCGATTCTCACTTAAACGATTTAAATAAAGATAGAGTGTTAGATATCATCGGCGGCCAAAAGAATAAATAATAGATCGTCGATTTCTCTTCGTGAAAAGAAAAGAAAAAGAAAAAAGAAAAAGAAAAAGAAACAAAAAAAAGTGAAAAAAAAGTGAAAAATCGTAGTTTCCACCGATCGAATTCGATGTTCCATCGAATTCTCGCGTGTGACGGCGACGCGTTAACGTCGTTTCTATTGTAAATACAAATGGGATTTCTATAGGATAAAAAAAGGTATCCCCTCTCCGAACTACCGAATGCGAGATCGGTAATAAAACGAGGCGGCCAGGCCGATCCTGGCTTGCGCCAGCTAGTTCGCATCGTTGTTCTCGAACGTAGAAGGTGAACGAGATCTTTGCGCTTCCGTATCACGATTTGCTCACGATTTCACAATTTCTGGGAACGATCGTCCTCCACGATCTCTTTTCACGATTTCATTATCGTGCATTAACGTTAAGAGATCATACGAACCACTTTGTTTCACTTTTCTCTTTCTTTGTTCAACTTTTTCATCCGTCGAATTCCTCTTCCCCTCTTTGAAACTTTTCCAATTATCGAATATTCTTTGGTTACAAAGAAAGCTTCCAAGCTTTCTCGTTTCGACTTTGAAATTTTAATTTTCTTCTTTCACGCGCGTCGCGTAAAGATCGTTCGATAACGCCTTACCATGTACGAAATACGGATACTCTATCCACGCTAGCGAGTTTCGAGGATTAATGTTTGACGCGAGACAGAGACAAAGCGACAGAGATGCAAACGAATGAAAAGGGAAGGAAGAGGAAAGAAACGTGTATTAAATTAATAAATCGCAATCAGAGTGCAGAGTTATCCAACGATTCGATTATCAGCTTCTGATCGCGCCCTTTTTTTTTCGATGATGCGATTTTTAAAATTAAACGAGACGAAGATTATATACGGTGTTCGAAAGTAAAGTAAGAAAAAAAAAAGCGAATAGCACGTACGAGTATCAAAAAAAAAAAAAAAAAAAAAAAAAGAAAAGAAAAGGAAGATAGCAAATTGAAAAAGGAGGAAAAATACGAGAGGCAAGGAAAGCTGGAACGTTTACAACGATGCTTCGTATGTATAATATTTATTTCTTTGCAATCACTGATGTAAATAAATGCAACAGTTTCAAAACGGTTGGCCGAATCGCTCGGTTGACGTCAACTTGATATTCTGTGCTTTGCCTTCCATCATTTTATCCGCCCTCTTTCTTTTATTTTATTTTATTTTTTTTTTCCTTCTTTTAAACTGTTTATCAATTTATTTTCTTTCTTCAAAGAAAAATGGAATACAAATATTTTTCGCTTCTTTTCGGTTATCGGTTTCTTGCTTCTCGCGAACGCGAGAATTTTTGTCGAAATTTAATAACGAAAATTCTTTGACAAAATTGCTACGTTATTAAATTCTACGTCGAACATCGACGTTAATTATTAGAGCGACATCGTTGGTATAATATATACGTATATTATACACGAGTGTAGCCACGTAATTGGACAATATGTCTTTATTATTTTGCACAACGATGCAACGTCATCGTCCACCAAACTGCCTAATGAAACATTATTCGATATCTGAGCAGAAATGTTCGAGTCAATGGTCAGGAAATACCGAAATACCGATTATTCCCTAATCAACAATTCGCGATATTGAGAATCGTTTTAAAAGGCTTGAGACGAGAAATTAAATAAAATACTTATTCGAATCTCTTTGAATGGGATATTTATAGATGGAAAGTAAAATCGATTCGCGTTTATGATTTGATAATGTAAATGCGATGGATAGAAATAGCATCGAGATTAATTTATTCTATATTAATACTATTCGAGTATGATAAATGCCTCGTGCAAACTGATATAAATACCCGTGTGAACATCATTCAAACGAGCTATTAACAACGATATCGCGTACCGCCTCCGTGTTACAAAATTATTATCGGTTATTCGCTTATTCTCCAAAGTATATTTGTTTCGCTCAGAAATTCGTGCTCGATAATCAGTTTTGTTTCGAACACGAAGCGGTACAGTTTCGACAGTACGATGTTGCTCAAGATTTGCTTGTACGTGGTTATTTCAATTCTCTTTCCTTTTTATCTCGATATTAAAATTGTTGCATACGAAATGATCGACTTTACGAATACGTAATTCGTAATAATTAAATATCATCGTGTTAAATAATATTTTGTTGAACGTCAATTTAAAAGCTTGAAGCTAGCTTGAACGCAATATCGAATGGTATTTTATCATTTTATTTATATAAAAAAATAAAATAAAATGAAATAATGCAAGGAAATTCGGTTCGAGTTAAGTCGTTTCTCTTATTAATTTCGAAACGAAATGGATAAAAATTGAAAACGATCTATCCATCTGTTGATGTTAAAATTTAAATTAGGGAATATAAATGTTAAAAATGTTTGTGGAGGTATAATTAATAACAATCACAATTTTAATTGTGATTCCAATTTCAATCTTTGTAATTAATTTAATTTTAATCAATTTTAACAGATAGAATATATTTGATTAATTGAATCAAGCTTTAATCAATATTAGTCTCAATAAAATAACAAACATCGATAATTTTATCAAGGATTCGATCGTTCCATTTGCAATAATTTAATGATACATGACGACTATAAGGTTTTGAAAATTATTATTTCGTTTATTGCACAGATTTTCTTTAATAATTTTCATCGATGCGAGAGTGATCGATATTAGGAACGACTTACTAAGCTGTTCAACGAGGGAATGCAAAGACTTTGGTAAAGTTTTCAATTTTGAAAACTCGGCGAGAATGGAAAAGTTTTAAGAAAATACTTTTTCGATATTTTTACGATATTAAACAGGTAGGAGGATAATAACGAACATGAACGCCTCCGTGGATCCGTGCGTGGACTTTTATGAATATGCATGCGGTAATTGGCCGAGAATGCATATGCTTCCGCCTGATGAGAATTCCTGGCAAATGCGAGCCGCCTCTGATGAAGAGAACAAACGAAGAGTCGAGGGTAAGTTTTTAATTCGGCCAACTTCCGTTTCCGAAGTAAAACGAAGAAAAACGATTTTCCAGAGATATTGAAGTTGGAATTGCGAGGCGATGAAATTCCTTCCGTAAAAGTAGCGAAGCAGTGGTACAAAACATGCATGAATACAGGTAGTGATCAAATTCATTAAACGAAATAATTGTTGAGCATTGAGTAAAATTCGAGATTAAAAGGAATATCGAAACGATAAATATTTTGGGAAAAAAAAGTTTTTTCTTTTTAATTTTTCGATTCAACATACGAATATATATCCGAGTATTTCTTAAATACTTTCGATCGGTTCGAAAATAAGTTTTCGATGGCTGTTAGAGGATGCAAACAAACGAGGTATGGAGCCATTAGTGTCGATGTTCGATAAAATTGGTGGATGGCCGATGATAATGGAACGAAACGAGTGGAACGAGAGTGGACAGAAATGGCAGAATATAGACGATTATTACGCTCATTTAAGGGGATTGAATTTATTACACGATATCCGGGTCACGGTATACGATAGAGGTTCTAAAGAGAAGAGCGTAGTGGTAAGTAATCGATTTTCGAACAATTTTCTTAGAATTATTTAAAATTCACTTCAAAATTCAGTTGGACGTCCCTGATATGCCGTTGTACTCGTGGATGCTGCGAGAATATTTCGACGCCGAGAATGAGACGATTAACAAACAAGATTTTAGAAAGGCGGAAAAATATTGGGATTGGATTTCAAAAATAGTTTCGAGAATATCCGAGGCTGCAGGATTCAATATAACGAAGTCTCAGCTGGAAAAAGACATTGAGGATATTTTTAGTTTCGAATGGAAGCTATTAAAGGTTTTTTTTTACAAATTTTCTTTACAAACGAGATATTCCACAAATTTTATATCTGTGTAAAATTATCATTTTCTCTAGATAACTAGTTTAGTAGACGATTATGTAAATATGACTGTGGGAGATTTTCAAAGATGGTACGATCATTTAAACTCACGTACAGAAAACTCTAAGGTGAGTAATTTATTTTTAACTTTTTTTCGAAAAATTTTTATCAATCTTTAAATAATAGAAAAAGTACTTGTTACAGGTGAATTGGACGGATAAAATAATTAATATTTTTAAAGAATCGGGTATCGATATTTCAAACGATACATTGGTAAAAATAACTTCTCCCGGTTATTTCAAAAATTTAATTCCTCTACTCGACGAGACTTCGACCAGAACTATAGGTAAGGATAATTATACTTTTTAAATTTGTCTTTCATATTTTACATCTTGAACAGTAAATTTCCTTCATTGGAGTTTCGTTTCGTCGATGATCACGAGGACTACCGACGAAATGAGAGAATTGAACGCCAAAATGGTCGAAAGCGATCCAAACGAGCAGGAATCTAGGTTCGTATATTGAATTAATCAAAAAAAATTTTATGCAACGTTAGGATCGAGTTCGAACGATGATCCAAGTGAAATGAAATTTTGAATTTTGATTTTTAGAATAGAAATCAAAGCATGTACAAATAACATTTGGAAAAAGTCAGTACAGTTCGAGTGATAGGATTCTTCAGTATATTTGAAGCAGCTATAGAGAGTGGAACGAATTACGGATACATATCCAATTTAGATTATGGATAATACATAATAATTATTTAATTCAAATTAAATATGGATTAAATACATAATGATCAACACAATTAGAGTGGTAGGATTTTTTAATTATTTAAAACAACTGTGGAAAATGGAGTTATGTCATTAAATATAATTTGAATTATATGACGTGTATTAGATATGTAAAGGTCAATACAATTCGAGTGGAATAGGATTCTTCAGTATATTTGAAGCAGCTATGGAGTGTGGAACGAATTATGGATACATATCCAATTTAGATTACGGATAGTACATAATAATTATTTAATTCAAATTAAATGTGGATTAAATACATAATGATCAACACAATTATAGTGGTAGGATTTTTTAATTATTTAAAACAACTGTAGAAAGTGGAGTTATGTCATTAAATATAATTTGAATTAGACGTGTATTAGATATGTAAAGGTCAATACAATTCGAGTGGAATAGGATTCTTCAGTATATTTGAAGCAGCTATGGAGAGTGGAACGAATTAGTATCCAATTTAAATTATGGATAGCACATAATAATTATTTAATTTAAATTAAACTTAAATAATTAAAAAAAAATTAATTTAAATATAATTTAAATACATAATAATCAACACAATTAGAGTGGTAGGATTTTTTAATTATTTAAAACAACTGTGAAAAGTGGAATTATGTCATTAAATATAATTTGAATTAGACGTGTATTAGATATGTAAAGGTCAATACAATTCGAGTGGAATAGGATTCTTCAATATATTTGAAGCAGCTATGGAGAGTGGAACGAATTACGGATATCCAATTTAGATTATGGCGTGTACGAATGTAGCAGCACGTGGTGGTCATTTAATTTGAATTAGCTGGACACGAATGTGATTGTATTAACTATGATTGTTTTAAAATTACTTGCAGGTCGGATTTGTGCATTAAGGAAGGAAAGATAATGGAAGTGATCGCTTACGAATTTGTGAGAAGATATTTTTCTAACGATATGATAGACATGGTAAAATTTCTTTACGATTTATATGTGGAGAAAGCACGAAAAGTGATGGTGAGATGAAATTTTTAAATTTTGAAATTTTTAATTAATTAGACGATGAATGCGTTGAATGATATAGAAGAGGAAATGAAAGTAGATATAGAAGAATCGAATTGGGCGAGCGAGGAGATAAAAGGTTTCGCTTTGAGAAAAATTAAATCCATAAAGAAGAATATTGGTTATCCGGATTGGTACAACAACGCGTCCATCATGGAAAATTATTTTGGCAATGTATATCAGATTCTTTTATTGTTGGAAATTTTTAAAAAATTTTGAAGATTTATGATTTAATTTTCTTTGCTTGCAGCTTACTATGGGACCGACGTATTTCGAAAATGCTTTGAGATTTCAAAAATTTTATAAATTAAAGGAATTACGATTTTTGAAATATAAAGATTTAGCAAAATCGTAAATATCCTCATAATGGTTAATTACGATTAAGATTAAATCAAGATGCTTATTTTCTGTTTTTATCTAGGTGGATTATTGATCCTTTGACGATCAATGCTTTTT